ACTCCTTGTGTATTTCTACAATGACTGTAACAAAGCGCCATAAAAAATACCGCATTCGAGCTCTTTATGACAAAAGATTTCCTGCGGGTGGTGGCACACGCTTGTAATCCCAGCTACTCAGGATGTGGACCTTTGAGGATTAGTGATCCAAGATCAACTCAGACAAAAACAAAGCCTAGAAGCCAATCTGGGAAACAAACTAGAGGCAAAAGGCCACTAAGCGTGACTCAAGTGGCAAAGTGCTTGTCTCACAAGCATGAGCCCTTGGGTTCAATACCCAGTACCACACACCCATGCACACACATACCCCTGCCCCCCCACACACACACAGGGAGAGGGAGGAAGAGAGAGAGAGACAAACAGACAGAATATTCTAAGAGATTTCCCTCATAACATATAGTAGTAATGATGATGGGAAGACAGAGGAAATATTGTCCCACATGACATCATAGAGTTGTAGGAGAGATTTCCATTTTCTCCACCCATCTTATTCCAAGGAGATAGATAATCATGAACAAAGGTTCAGCACACCTGATAGTTGAGAGTTAGGTAGAGTATGAACAGGGAGCTGCCTCCTTATTCTTTAGGCCTGTCCTCATCCGATGCTTTACACTCCTCACTAACTATACCCAATCCCTACCTCTGCATGGGCTGGGCTTTTCTATCTCTCTCAGAATTCTTTCTCTATGCTCTTGAGAGTCTGGCCTTGTGATTTCCAGGAGGTTTTCACCCCATGGAAAACACTGGCAGGACAGAATGACAGTGTCAAAGGGTCCCTGCTAGCTTTCTTCTGGGCAAGTGGTTATTATGAAGCTGCTTCCTTTTGCTGAAAATCACAGCTGCTACCAGCTACTGTCTATACAGCTACGGTCATTGAATTCCATAGTGGCCTCCTCCTCTTGCCCCTACAAACCAAGAAGGAAATGGCTTCCCAATTTTACTGTCCCTTGAGCAAAGCACTAGCTTTTGTTGATTGGCCTAAACCCTGTCTATAAATAGTTGTGTTCTAAATAGTTGCTCCCTCAGAAAAGCTCTTCCTTCTACTCACCTTGGTTATTTTGTTTGAAAGTACTATGTGTTTCCTGCCAGGACCCTAACCAATGCTTTGTGTACCTCTACCTCTAAACAGCCTGTCTACTCTTAGATGCCAACTCAGTTGATCCTTCCTCAGCTTTCTGCCTTGATTTACCTAGTCTGTACCACCCTCTTCAATCCATCAGTCAGGTGTCATGCTTGTGTAAGACTCTTCCATGGCAGTGGGAAAGCCCTGAGAGTTGAAGAACATGTTCAACTCATTCTAACACCCTTAGCAAATTGCAGAGAAACTGGAAGAGTTAGTGAGAGAGAAGAAGAAAAGGGGGAAAGGGGCTTAGGAGAGGAGGACAGAGAAGAGAGAGAAAAATCAGTAGTACAAGAGGAGAGACAATGGAGAGAACATGACCCCTGGATAAGAAACATTCAGTTCTTTACTAAAAAATCACCTAGATAATGTCAATTTAATTCTCAGTGCTTCTGTTTAAAGTTCCATCCTTTCTCCTTTCTTTCCTTCCCTCTTTTTCCTTCCATCCTTGCTTCCCCCCTCGTCCCCCCTTTTGGTTTCAAGTCACAAAGTAAGTGTTTCTCTGTAACCTTCCACAGTTTTCTCTGTTTATAGGATAGCTGATCTGGCTAGAACCCAGTAACCTCCAACCTCATCAGGAAATGACACAGGACCCAATGGGGCTCACTCTGGGCACACAGCTATCCCAGGCTGTGAACAAACAGGCCCTGGTGTGAGTGGTCACAGCACTGGCACAGGGCCACTTGCAGACATTCTGGGTATGCAGTCTCGTGATTGAGAATGAGAAGGCCTTTGGAATCTGCTGCTATTGTCTGCTGATTGTGAATTCTCTGGAACCTGAGGCCCCATGGCTACTCCATATCAGCATGGTGCTCTGAAAAGGACAGTTAACCCTGGGTCATGACCCAACGGCACTCACCAGGTTTCCTCCAGGGCTTTATAAAATCCACCAACCCTATCATCGCTATACTCTAATCGTGCTTCTAATTGTTCGGTATATTTAAAAATGGATTTCCCCCTTTAGCCAGGTACCAGTGGCTCATACTTGTAATCCTAGTTGCTGAAGGGACTGAGATCTCAGGATCATGGTTCAAAGGCAGCCTGGGCAGAAATGTCCATGAGACTCTTCTCTAATTAGCCAGTGAAACACTGTAAGTGGAGCTGTCCCTCAGTGGTAAGACACCTGACTTAAGCAAAAAAGCTAAGGGGAAGAGTCTAGGCTTTGAGTTCAAGCCCCAATACTGGCACAACACACAGACACACACACACAGACACACACACACAGACACAGACACACACACTCCTCCTTCAGTTGGGGCTTTGGATTCGCCAGGCCTGGGTTTGAGTTGAAGTTTTCCGTATATAAGCAGGGAGACTTTCATCTTTCCGAATCAACACAATGCAGTGAAGGGCCAAGTGCTTCCTCACCCTTGGGAGGATTGAGTGAACATTTGTTGCATGGATGGGTGAATGAGAAAACAAATGGACGGAACAAATGGTTTCATGGCCATTGGCTATAACCCATTTCCTTTCACATCCACTCCGCCCTGACACAGAGACACCTATGGGATGATGCGAGCACAGAACAACATGCACTACACTGATCCCAGAAACCTTGCCTTTGAGAACAGCCTACTGACTTTTCTGCCCCATGAATGTGGCTAAGTCATTGTACTAGGTAAGACTCCTCTACGTCCCCATCAGCTGAACATAAATGTTAAACTCATGTGTTGTTTCTCTGGTCAAGTCCTAGCAAGGTCCAAATGTAAGCAGAGGTGACAATGGTTCACGAATAGGAAGGGAATGGCCACACACCCTGGCTTCTTCTCATATGCACTCAGCATGTCTTGGCGCCCAGGTGAGAGTCCAGGAGCTTTCCTGGTGCCAGGAGAGCGTGATGATGTGCTTTCTGACCTCCTGACAGCATTACCATTCCTCTTTCCATAGGTATGCTCCTGCCTGTGAACCAGAGGCTCTGGCTTTTTTTTAAAGAGAGACCTAAAGAGAAGTGTCAGCAGAAAACCTGCCGAGGTTAGCAAATGTGTTTGTGTCATCAGCAAGTCCAGGGTCCTGTGCGTTGGACAGAATGGAAAAGTTCAGCATAAATCTGGGAAAAACAGGAAAGTTGATGTTGACTGTTTCTCTGGCTGAAACTAGTGCCTTTGGGTCCCACATCAAATGTAGGTCACCCTGAAATTCACCTTGGGGTTGCATGTTGAGATTGCTGGTTGAAGAGGACTAAGCATCTGGGAGAGAAATCAGATAGTAGCCTCTCTATGGTGCCCAGCTTACAAGCCACATAAGAGAAGTACCTTTTGTCTTCTATGTCCTCCCTTCACCCCCAACCCCATTTCTGATGTCCAAATGATATCTAGCCTTTAAAACATATTTTTGTTTTGTGGGGCTGGGAAGGTGGCTCAGTGGTAGAGTGCTTGCCTTACATGTATGAGGCCCTGGGTTTGTTTCCTCAGCACCACATAAGCAGAAAAGGCTGGAAGTGGCGCTGTGGCTCAAGTGGTAGAGCACTAGCCTTGAGCTGAAGAGCTGAGGGACAGCGCCCTGGCCCCGAGTTCAGGCCCCACAACTAACAAAAACAAACAAACAAAAACAAAAAAATCATATTTTTGTGTATATTTAAGGGTTGTACTATGATGTTATAGGATACGTTTAGGTTGCAAAAAGATTATTAGAAGAAAACTAGAATACATAACATCATCTTGCATAGTTGCCTTTTTGTGCAAGAAAAACAGAAACCTTATTTAGCATAAATTCTAAATATAATAAAATTATGTTGTCTACACTCTTCATGTTATACACTAGATTTCTAGATTTGCTCTATTATGCCTCAATTAACACCTATTCTTGAACACCTTGCTGAAATGTACTTTGACAAAAGTCAAGCTACAACTCAGCTTTTTCTCTTTGCTCTCTGATCTCACTTCCTGAACACCACAGACCATATACCAAACAGCTTTCCTTCGATAAGGAATAACAATTGTGCTTATTGAGAAGGAACTGATGGAAAGAGACAAGTTTAATACACCCTCTCTCAGCCTTTAGCAAACTAAAAAAGCAAGTACTACAATCATTCCACTTTTGTAGATGTAGGAACAGGTTCTGAGAGGCTGTAGAGTAAGGGAGTAACAGAGCTGAGATCTGAATCAGTTTCTACCAACACTGTATCCAATAGAACTCTCTGCGATGATGGAAGTGTTCCATAGTGTTCTGTCTGTAAACCCGATGTGGCAACTGGATGTTTGAAATGTGGCTGGTGCAACCCAGAAATTGGATTTTCAGTTTCATTGAATTTGAACTGACCTAAATGTCCTACATGTGACTAGGAACTAGTACATTGGATTGGCATAGCTCTAACCCACTCAACTATACACAGTACCATAGCTATTTGTATTCAGTGCATGTCAACCTGTTTATACTCAGCTCTTTGAGAAGAGATTTTTTTGTTGCTGTTGCTGGTCATGGGGCTTGAACTCAGGGACTGAGTACTGTCCCTGAGTTCTTTTGCTCGAGGGTAGTGCTCTACCACTTTGAGCTATAACACCACTTCTGGTTTCAACCACTTTCCTGTGGTTATTTGGAAATAAGAGTCTCATAGACTTTTCTGCTCGAGCTGGCTTTGAACCGTGATCCTCGGATCTCAGCCTCCTGAGTAGTTAGGATTATAGGCGTGAGCCACCAGCACCTGGCCTGTGAGACTTTCTTACCAGCCAGTGATAAGTACTCAATCATTACCTCTACAATGAACTTCTAGATAGCTCTATGTGGTTTCCCTGATGACCTGAGTAATAATAGAATTGCCTTGAAGCTGCTGCATGCACTGAAAAATTGTCCTCACCCACACAGGTCTCAGATGCCACATCTATCAAATGGAAACATCCTGTGTTGTTCTCGAGTGTGCACGCTCCGCCCAGGAGGGGCTTACCTGTGTGGAGAGTCGGGATCAAAGCACGTCTCGGTGACATTGGTGATGTTGGGGTCACAGCACTCCCCACCATCGAAGTTGAAGCGTTCGTAGTTGCAGTCCATGTCGCATACGCCGTTCTGCTGCTTCTTCATGAAAGCTGGGTAGCGCAGGTGCCGGCAGTCCCCGCCGTCATGGCCGGTCAGTGTGTGGTTACACTCAGGATCACAGCTCTCATCCCCGATCTTGCTGATGTCACAGTTGGCTAGGACAAGGCGGTGACGCAGGGAGGAGTTATTCACCTCCAGCACCTCCAGCTCCCAGGAGATGTTGTAATGCTGGAAGGCCTCGGCCAGCTGCTGGTGCTGGAAATCCACCTGCTGGCGGCTCACGGTTGGGTTCTCATGGTCATCATCGTAGAGGTTGACCACGCGGTAGCGCACCACCTTCGGCTGGCGGAATCTGGGGAGCTGGTTGTAGCTGGCGATGACCTCTTTGTTGTCACACAGCGTCTGCCCGCACAGAGGGGGCTCCAGATTCGTGTCCAGCAGGAAGCCGTGGGCATTACTAAGTTCCACTCGGGGGCTGTGGCCATCTTTCATGGGGGACCAAATGCGTTGCACATTGTCCCAGTTCTCCTGGAGGAGGAGCTGAGGTAGAGGGGTGTAGAGGCCGTGATTTTCCATGTCCAGTAGTATCTCTCGCTGAGTCCTGGCCACCTTCCAGAGACGGAAGTGCTCGATGTAGCCTCGGTAGTTGTGACTCAGAGTGCTGCCCCCCAGCATGAGCACTTTACACTTCTGGGTCAGTGGGCTGAATATGCCACCCACTTGCCCCCCGGAATTCGCCACCTGGGCACCATTCACATAGAGCTTCATCAGCCGTCCATCATAGGTGGCAGCTAGAAATACCCACTGGCCTGGGAGGTAGCTGCGATGGGCATTGATGGTAGTCACTTGCCGGGCCCGGTCTGTCTTCAAGGAGAAAAAGTAGCGTGGGTCTCTGTTGCCTTGATCACCGACGGTGTGAATGCCCACGACCCATCCTTGATCACGCGAGGTATAAGAGCATTTGTCATACAGCCCTATGTGGCCCCAAAAGAGAAAGATGAATAAACAAAAGATGGAGGGAAAGGAAGGTGTTACTTCCCCCCCCCCCCCGATAAAATTCTACCTCAGGTGGTCCTAATTTCAAACTGCTTTGTGGAATCCTGGCAGTTACTAATGGTGCCTCTGGGACCGCCCCAAGGGTGGTGAGAAGTAAATAAATTGGGTTTGGAGCCATTACATCATAGCCCCAACCCACGCAGATTCATTTTGAATGGTTTTGAATATGGAGGGTGTGAGGGAGTTTCTGGTTTGCAGAATGGGTACATCAGCTAAAGGAAACACAAGAACAATAGCAATAACAGTGATACAAATATGAAGAACACTGTTTCTTTTGTGAAAGTTCAGGCGAAGAATACTTTCTAATTAATAGGAACTTTTAAGTGGGGGATGATATGTGAGGTAAGAGGAGAAATAGCAGATTATAACAGAAGGTGCTCATTTAGAGGACATTTGTGTATACACCTGTCATTGGCAGTCATTGAATGATCTGTAGAGTTGAATTTGGGAGAATGGTAAGGTCAAGGGTTGAAAAGATAAGCACTTTGGTTGGTTCCCCCAAAAAAGGTTGACATTCTCTGGGTGCTGGTGGCTCATGGTTGTAATCCTAGCTACTCAGGAGGCTGAGATCTGAGGATCATGTTTCAAAGCCAGCCCGGGCAGGAAAGCTCATGAGACTCTTATCTCCAATAAGCCACCAGAAAACTGGAAGTGGCGCTGTGGCTCAAGTGGTAGAGTGCAAGCCTTGAGCTGAAGAGCTGAGGGACAATGCCCAGGCCCAGAGTTCAAACCCCATGACCGACAAAAAAAAAAAACAAGGTTGACATTTAAGAGCCAAGCTGGGAAGTTATTGAAAATCATCATTTTCAACTCCTTCATTTTACAGATGAAGGCACTAAGACCCAAAGAGTGGAAGGCATTTGTTAGGTTACACAGAATCATTCACAAATCTCTTGAGACTCATGTTAGCTTGCTCTTCTCTAACAATAATCCTTATATAACGTATCTCTATCTATCTATCTATCTATCTATCTATCTATCTATCTATCTATCTATCTATCTATCATCTATCTCTTATCTACCTGCCTATCCTCTTAATATGAGATGTTGCCTTTAAAATGGTAACAATTGTCAAAATCTACAGAGCCTGTGAGGTAAGCCAGGCATACTAAAGTCTGCATGAATCAGTTCTATATTGAAATTGTACCTTCAGCCAGGCTTTTTACTGGCTATTTTGAAATTGGAGTCTCATAGTTTTTTTCCCTACCTGGATTATTTCTAAACTTCAGTTTCCTCTAGCTCTCAGCCTCCTGAGTAGTTAAGATTTCAAGCATGAGCCACCACCACCCAGCTTTGAATGACTTCTTTAATACATTTATGCAACATCCTCATGGCAGTGTTATTAAAGTTTCTCATAAGTGATGATGGGTAAGGAAATTAAAAGAGAGGAAGAGACAAGTTCAAAGTCAATTAGTCAGTAGATTCTATAAGACCCTGGAATTCACTGTCCTGTGTGATAATTCCATAACACCTCTCACCCTTTCACTGGTGCCAACAGGGATTTGGACCACATCATCAACTTGGAGAGGAGGGGTGCCACAAGTTTTAGTTAGGTGTTTGAGGGTGTTCCAGGCTAGGCATCCATAGACTTACTCTGGGAACTCCAGGAAGTAGCTTAGTGGATTGTCTCTGGATCTAATTATCTTTATACTCACCAGCCCCTTGCTCCCCAGCCTTTTCTGGAATATACCCAATGTCCTTGGCACAGACAAAGGTGTTGGATGGGGAAGAGGACTTGCTAATTAAGAGTGCATTTTAAGTGTCAGATGCTGCATGAAGCCAGGTGGGAGGAGAAAAGAGAGGGAGATGAGGATGAATAAAAGATGCTCATTTAGGAGGACAGGCCCTACTCTCACTAGAGAATTTTTGCAGTCACCATAACTCTGTGTGCATCTGCCATTAATGCTCATCAAATGAACATGGAGAGCATCCAGCAGAATCAATAGAGGAGGCCCACACAATCCTTACTGCTCTGCTGGCACTGGGACCTTAGAGTTTGTGTAAAAATCTCTGTGTGAGGAATTGACATGACCAGCATTTTGGCTGAGGATCTAAGCTTTCCTAAGTCTCTTCCCACTCCCTGACCCAAGCCAACGGTATTTCGGGGAATGTCTCGAGTCTACTAACAACACAGTCATCCTGCTCCTGCAGTCTGGGTCACTTTGTTGGAGAACCAAGTGCCTTTCTGGTCCTCAGTGATCCAGCTAGTAAAGGAGGGGTTTGGATGAGGTTCCTTGTCACAAACTCAATCCGAATCTGATTTTCTTTCTTCCAGACTTCCCAGTGACTAACATACAAGGCACTTCTTCCCAGAAGTTCTCCCCGATCATCCTGAGTGGAGAAAGCACTGTCTCCTCTGCACCCACTTTACTTTTAGGAAACTCGATGTGGGCTCTCTGGTTTTGGAGTTGCGGGTGCCTACCTCGTTGTCTCCTCTCTGGATGTTTCTTGAGGATACTAACTATGTCTGGTGATCTCTATTATTTTTCCCCAGCACCTTGCTACAATAGGCACTCAGAAAGTGTCTCGTGAATGATTCGGTCCAATTTTGAACAGTGAGGTTAAAGCAAAACAGGGACATTCAGGACATAAAAATACCAAAGGCACTAATTTTTGTCTCTGTGGCTAATGGTCAGAGAGTCAGAGGACAGAATGTGTTCCTGGTGGGGGTGGGGAAGAGCAGGCTCTTTGGACTTGAGGTAATCGCTTTTGAATTCTGATGACAGCAATTACTAGCTGAATATCTGGGGCAAAAATGGAACTTTTGCACTTTGCCTCTGTGGAACTTCATTTCCTGCTCCGTGTCTTTCTTTAAACATGCTGTTATTCTTAAAAGACAGTGAATAGAGTAGCGTTGGCATACAATGGCAATACAAATGGAAGTTCATTTTTGAGATGCTGGCAGGTCTAGGAATAAAATTAAGGATGAAAATGTAGGAAATGACTGGAAACTATATATATATATATACACATATATATGTATATACATATATATATATATATATATATATATATATATATATATATATGTACCCTGAAGGCAGCTCATTTGATGTGTTAAGAGCTAGAATGAAGGCTTAGATAAAGCCCAAGTCCTCCTCAAACTCACTGGCAAAAAAAAAAAAAAATGACTTTACAGATCTTAAATCCCCATTAGCTTAGATGATAGTAAGAAATGACAGTCCCTCTGACAAAGATCTGATTCCAGATTTAGAACGAGTTGCCCCAGATTGCTCTTATTGGTGCCCACTTTGTGAATCAGCAGGGCACAAAGGTTCTGGAAGCTACCTGGCTCATGCTTAATCCTTGGCTTAAGTTCTCTCCTTCCCCCACCTATCGTCTCCCCACTAAAAATAAAATGTGAAGGGTCTCTTAATAAGGAAATTAAAATCTGAAACAGGACTCTTCCCACATCCCTCCTCCCTGCTGAAGTTTTTTATTTTTCCAGGGGCTCCCAGTGCCTGGTTTTCCTGTTGTCCTTGGAAGCCCAGTTCCCTGGTTAGCAAGGTAAAATGTTTATACATCGGTAGGGTGCCCTCACCTCAGAACCTTCCAGAGGCTGCAGACTCAAGCTCAGGCCGCCCCTCTTCTCTTCACAGTTGAGAGAAAAGAAGCAAGGAATGAGAAAAGCCAGATGCTGTAAACATACAGCTAAGAGTAAGAGGTAGCTTAGCCCGGAGGGGGGGGGGGGGGGGGGGGGGGATGGGCAGAGAGGACAGGCAAAGAAGGGTTTTCAGTACAACCAAGGAGGAAATACATTAAGGGAAATGAGAACCTTGAAGCACTGACTTCAGGAATTCAGAGGGTTACATTTGCCTGGAGTCTAAGTGGCAAAAGGAAACCACTGATGGGCTAGTATTAGTGGTGATGGGCCTTTATTTCCACAAGAAAATATCTTGATTCACCGAATTCACATTCCAATGGTTGGATGAATGGGAAGTACCTCTGGAGCATCAACCCAGGACCAGGGATCGGACACCAAAGATATAGATTTAGCATGCCAAGTCAGTTTTCCTGGATACAAATCACACCAGCTTTTTTTTGTTCCATGGCCTCATGGAACTGTTAAAGTAGGGATCCAGATGAAATGAATCTCCCACTAGAATTTAAGAACTCTTTTGTTCATGGTTTTGTTCCTGGTATGTAGAAGCTACTCAGAAATCTGTGTTCATTTGAATGACAACCTTACTCCATTCCATACTGCTGCATGCTCCGGTTCCCTCTCCTCCAATTCTCTCCATATAGGTCACAGAACATGATTCTCTGAGGAAACACGGGTATAAGTATGCCTCCTTTCTCTGTCTTTCCCTACAGTTGTTGAGCAAGATAGAGACATGGCTTAAAATGGTACAAGGTCATTTGAACCATCTTGGTGGAACTAGAGAATAATCCTGGGGTCATACTCTCACTCAACAAGGTAGAAGGCCACATACCACTCTGCATGTAATCTTCATATCATTGGCAAACACCTGCCTCAGATTATGACCCTGTAGAACTAGACAATACAAATGTCAAGAACCATTTTGTAGGCTAATAAAATATCGGGTCACAATGTCTAGAAGGAGAGGAGTTGGGCTCCATGTGTGGAAAAGGGCTTCTTCTGGGCCTCCTGTTAAGGCTTTGGTCATTGGAACCCTGGTTGATTGGCCTTGTTTTATTTGGTCAGTACTGGGATTTGAACTGAAGGCTTGGGTGCTTTTGCTTAGCTTTTTCACTCAATGCTAATGCTCTACCAATTAGTTAATGCTCCAACTAGGGCTTTTTGCTGGTTAGTTGGAGATAAGAGTCTTATAGAGTTTTCTGCATGGGCTGGCTTCAAATCTTGATCCTCAAATCTCAGCCTCCTGAGAAGGAGGATTACAGGCATGAGTCATTGATGCCCAGTGCCTGATGGTTTCTTATTCAGGGTTCTAGTTTT